ATTTTATTATTTATTTTAATTTATTTTTTTTTAGAAAAAAGATAAAACTTTGTGGAATATTTTTCATGAAAGGTTCTCTAAAAGTCTTAGCTGCAGCCACATGAAATCAAATCATATGCTGTATAAAAAGATTCATCTGTTCTACTTTATATTTGACTAAACTATGCCAGTGTTTGACTAGTCCTTTTTAATGAACAGATAATATTTTGAAATTCTGGGTTACAAAACAGAACTGAAAATCTAAAATACTTTTACAGAGCGGGCAGCTAAAGTTGCTGAGCAGCAGGAGAGAGAGCGAGCAGCACAGCAGCAGAATTCCTCCCCCCGGGCAGGCACTCCTGTCGGGGCTCTTATGGGGGTGGTGCCGCCACCAACACCAATGGGAATGCTCAATCAGCAGTTGACACCCGTTGCAGGTAAAACGTAGGAGCTATGACCATTTTTTCCTCATCCACTATATCAACCCCCTTCATAACTCTGAACACTCTCTTGGGTCACTTTGTTCTTACGGAAGAAAAAGCTCAACCTCTTCAGTCTTTCTTCATAATGAGTATACGTAAGTGCAGCGGTAGCCTGATAGTCCCACATTACTTGCTCCAGTAGTGAGTAGCCTGTTGCAAATGCAGGGAAGAAGGGTTCTCCTTGTGCAGTAGTCCTGTTCTGTTTGTGTGCAGTCGTGTTTATTCACTCTACTTTGCAGAGTTCGTGTTTAGCCTGCTACGGCAGGAGGGGAGTGAGCTAAATACTCTCCTAGTGCATGCAGCGTCAGTGGAAATGGTAAAGTAGGAGGCTAATTAATTATTTTTGTTTATTGTCAGGAAGGTGAGAGGCAAACAGAATCCAGATTTTAAATCCATGCAAAAGTGTTACAGAATTGCTGATTAGATGCTAGTAAGCGGAGCAGACTAGGATCTAGAGCCATTGCAGAAACAAATACAAAATGCCAACATTGCCGGTTTTATCAGGTGATTTTCAGAATAGAACTGAGCTTGGAGAACTCTTCCACAAGGTCTCTGTTGCTGGGTGTTGTGCTCTTTATCAGTTGTAATCTGACTTGAGTTCATAGGGAGTATGCTCGGAGTATTTTCAGGATCAGATCTGAAGACAATGTAGTCTACTGGAGATTCTTGTATGGGAGTCAGCCATACATCGGTGAGAAAATTAATTAGGAATGACCTGATAGGTTGTTTTCCTTCCCCCATTTCTAATTAAAATAATTAGGTTACTTCAGTCAAGGTCAAAATAGTGTCAAGTAGGTAAAAATGAGTATTTGGAGGATTTTTGTTTTGGGGTTGTTTGGTGGGTTTTTTTAACTTTCCCTTAATGCATTCCAATTATTCCATTTATTCTTTTGCCATTTTTCTTTTTCTTTCCCGTCTCTCAGGCTCTGGCAATATTTACAGCTGACAGCCTGAAGTGTTTTTCATCATGGTCTTGAAATCCCTTTTCAGTAAATAGGTTGCATGAATGTTTAAACTGAAGGCACATTCCTTATTTGGTTCATGATCTCTAGATACAAAGCATTTGTTTACGCTGAGTTGCTTTTTTTTGCTTGTTTGTTTTTTCCCCACTTTGTTCTGGATAATTTTCCTCTGAACTATTTGCAGTTGGTGCCTGTTTGTGTGTACACATATCTGTGCATATAGTAAGAAAAAACAAACCCCAAGTTCTCCAGTGCTGATCTTTTTTGTGAGTAGCCTACTTCAATCTAGTATATGTAGAAACATCATCCTCTTGTGGTTGTGTTTTCTTGGTTTGGTTCTTGGTTTTTTGGCATTGAGTCACCTTTCCAATTTTTGGAGGTAGGTGTTGATGGGCAGTAATACTTATTACTAACACTTTCTTAAGACTTCCAAAAATGTGCATTCTGCAAACTACACACGCTAACTTCCTGCGGCAGCCTCCTCAAAAGCAAAGCTGTATTTAAGACCATCATCTTATTCAAGCAGTTAGACATTCAAGTCTCTTCACTTTGGTATTGTGAAATACTTCCTTAGAGTGAATGTTCAAGTGGATCTTTTTAAAATCTTCCTATTTTTGTGGCCCATTTGAAAAACACAGTCTTTCATCTTTTTGTTTCCACGAGTCTTGCTTAGAAGTATCTTATTCTGTTAAGACCTCTTTCACATCCTCCTCCATCATTTGATTGCTTTTCTCTAGTTCAGAGGACTTCTCCATCACAGAAGTTCAGAGAACTTCTTTATGGCCCACGGGTCCAAGAAGTCTGGATACCTTCTGAGATGCATTTCTCTTAGTGGGTAGTGCTGTAGTTTCTTGTAAATTTAGGCATTATGAAAGTTTATTTAATCTTACATTGTTACAGTAAAAATTGAGAGAACAAGTAATTTGAAAGACCTCATAAATTACATCTGTGGGAGCTGGAAATAGTTTGCCCATGTTTACTGGTTTAAAATCAAAGTGCTAACTCATACATAGGCTATGAAAGTGGCTGCACTTAGATCCTTGTGATGAGCTACAAGAACTGATTTCTCATGGAGATTTGACAACAACTTTATTAATCCAGCCAGTTGTTTGGTGATGGAAATGTAGAAATGAGCTTTCATGATTGATAAATGAGCTTTCATGATTGATAAATGTGGGTTTGTTTCATTGGAGGTTTTTTTTGTTTTCTTTTGTTTGTTTTAAAGCTTCAGAAGTGTATGTAAATGCATTGAGGATGTGATTGCAGCTCAGGGTGCACTGGAAGTACCAGTCAGTTGCTACAGTGAAAACCTTTTATTCTAGGGATGTTTTTGTTGGTTTTCTTCTTTTACCATTAGAAATATGGATTTCACTATGTTAATAAAGAGGTGCAGATGAGCTTCCAGATATTTGAAATAGGTACCTAAAACAACTTCTATAACTGCCAATCTAGGTGTCCTGTGGACAGCAAAGGTTTGAGGGAGATCAGTTCTTTATTTTGTCGTTGTTTGCTCCATGGAAAGCTTTTGGAATTACAGGTTTCTCACCTTTGTAACTCTTCCTGAGGAAGCAACAAATTTAGCTTGTATTTTGGAGCTACTCAGTCTTTCAATCCTGAGCTCATGACAGCTTTGTTCTCAGCCAGAGCTGCTGTGAGGTTTTGGCCAGTCTTACTCTAGAAGTAACTGTTCTATGAAAATTTCTTCTATGAGTTACTGGGAGGGTGGCAAAGACTCAGGTGGTGGTTTCTTGGAGCAGACTATTAGAAATGCAAAATTGCTGGGGTTTCTAATTTACCTCATCTCTCCAGACCTGCTTCTGTCCTCTGTCATCTTTTCATTGTCTTTCCAACGCCTTTCCTTGGTTACCTGACAACGCATCCATTTAAATTAAAATAAACTAGAAAGCAGGTGAGGGACAAGCAAGTTATGTTCCAGGACCTAATAAACACAGTGCAGTTATATTGTGTAGGTTCACCTCATGGATAGCAACAAAGCTGAGCTAAAACCAGAAAAAACTCTAAATTATCTTCCCTCACATGCAGAAAATGAAAGTTATGAGCAGCAGCTTGATACCATCTTCGTGGTATCATTGATTTTTCTATAAAGACACCTTAAAAACATTGATAGTGAAATTCTGTGAGGGACTGCAAGTGCTCCTTGTACGTCCTTTTACTTCAGTCTAGTGCCGTGAGTGTAAGTCACTGCAGCTCAGCACATTCAGTGCTGTCAAGTTTAAAATTTGAATTACTTCCTTAGTTTATACTGGAGATGGTTTAATAAAGTCACCCCTGTCACTGCCATTAAAGTATGCTAATGTTCTAGAGCTTTTGTGTGTTAATTTTGCATATGAACTGCAGAAAAATGTATATTGGGTTTGATGTCCAAGCTAGCCCCCATAGCAGGGCTGTACGTGGAGCTTGTGTAGTTAGTGTTTGTAATCTGTATGCAGATGGCAGAGCTTTAAGCTGTGTTAAAATTGCTTGTGTTAGTAACATTTAATTGTGGCTGAATTTATTCCTTGTGTTAACATACCTGAATATTCAGCATTTATTGCCCCATGAGAAACATACGAATACACTAAATACTAATTCATCAAAAGTATAGTGATTCATATTTATAACTTTTTTTATTTTTAAGTTTTGTTCATTTTTGCAAGATACTAATTGTAGTATCGTCTTGCTGTACTAAAGGTGCTTTTTTCTTTTTTTTATTTGTCTGTGGATAGTGCATGTCTTACTGTGTAGATCATATTGCATGTTATTGATGCATGTTTGAAATTTGTTGTGTCCTTCAAGGCATGATAAGTGGCTATCCAGCGGTGCTGCCACCTTTGCAGGGCCCAGTTGATGGCATTGTTAGCATGGGCAGCATGCAGCCACTTCACCCAGGGGTGCCCCCACCCCACCAACTTCCGCCAGGTATGCCAGGCATCCCAGGCATCCCACCACCCGGTAAGAATGTCATCCTCATTCGCTCCTTATTTCATTTTCATGTACTTGCCGTTTAACCAGTTGTTAAAGGAATTACCTGCAGCTTGTTTTGGTCATAGCTTTTGTTTCTGAACATTGCAGGTTTGTTTAGCTGCAGCGCACACAATGCACTGCTGAATATACCAGGTAGATGCAAAATGTTTGCAGAACAGCACGTTCAGTAAACCATCAGGGAAGGGTTCCTGGAGAAACGTGATGCTGCTCCAGCAGTAGCTTTGCTCCAGCCAAGAGACCTTGACAGATGTGCTTGACTTTATCAGAGGTCTGGAAAGCTGAAATCAGCCTATTATATCCTTACGGCATTTCAACAGCATTCTTCCACTCCTCCTTTCCTTATGTAAAGTGGGCATATAAATGAAATTTATTGCTCTCATTCTTTACCAAACTTTTTTTTGCTATGTTAATGTTTATAAATAGACTGCACTGAAATGAACCTGGTCACGGAAGACCCCATGGCCACTGGGGCACTGACGTGTTATTGTAAAACAGTGTTCAAATTAAACTTTATTGATAGAACAGTAACTGGAAACGTTTGGGGATAAGGTGAACTTGGTATACTATTGTGGCCAAATTTTGAATTGTGGCCAAATTTGAGAGCATATCTACTACATGTTTGCTAATTTTGCCACACTTTTGATGAAAAGTGAGGCTGAATGAATCATAAATGTTTTTCCAGTGTTAATGCCATTACCATGTCCCTGTTATGGGGAAAAATGTTCATCTGCTGTCTCATCCTGTTTTCTGCTGATTCTTTCAATTTTTACCTCAGATAACTCATGTGCCTATTTAAAAGATGTGCATCCCATATGTTCAGCAGTTAAACAAGCTGTGGACAACAGTGGTCTCATTTGCTTCCCCCTACCGCACTTGCAACTGTGTTTATCAGAAGCTCTTTTAAGACTTTTATCTGTATCTAAATTGTTTTGGGTTGGGTTTTGGGGTTTTTTGGTGGTGTTTGCTTGGGTTTTTTAAAAATCCATCAGTATTAGGTGTGCAGCTTGCAGCTTCACTGATGTGTAAGATTCACCATAATGTCACGTAGAGGGAGTAGGAAAACAGCTGTGTGTGTGTGTGAGCCTGTCCCCAACTCACCAAGGCGGTGACATTTAGCACACATCAGCAACGTACAAATGTTTTGGAGGTGAATCCAGGACAATGCATTTATTTGAAGAATTTTCCCACTGGAGAAGTGGGCTGTGTGTATGGTGTTGAAAACTGAGAGGATATGGATTAGGGGAAAAAAAAAAACACCTGGGAATGGAGGACCACAGGTAAAGTGGTGCTAAATTGGGCTGGGTGGGCTGAGGGTGAAGCCATGCTCTAGTGCTGGAAAGGTGAGGGTGCCCTCCTCCAGACCTCTTCGCTTTGTACAAAAAAAAAAAAAAAAAAAAAAATCCATGCCATATTCCACAACTTGGATTATCAATGTTTTTCCCAACTCCTGACTTGCTGTTAGTACAGATGCCTTTATAATGAGGGCTGTCATCAAATGGAAAATGCCTTTGAAATATGCTTTAGTGTGCAAAATGCAGACACACATCTTTTCATCACTGATAGAGAAATCTGCATGCAAATTAAACCCTCAGGAGTAGTGTAGTTAGGTTGCAGCTTTTCCAATAAATGAATACAAGAAGTGGCGTAAACAGAAAGAAAAGCAGCAGCATGTGTAACTCATTTTTTCAGACTGAAGCATCTGTATGTAAAATATCAGGAACTGCATGACTCTCATTTAGATTTGTAAATTTTTGTATGTAAGACTGACACGGGTGTTACATACTGCACTCTGTGCAATAGGGAAAAGCCTCTTAATATGTTTGAGAAAAACTAGCAGTCTTTCTTTTTATTTTTTTTTAAATTTGCTTCAAATGTTCATGGGTCTCATATATAAGACTATTTAAGGTTAACCTGCAAGTTGGGTTTTATATTAGTGAGATCTAACATAATTTGTGCAATGGCTTGGATTTCCTCCTGCTGTGAATGTATTTTATAAAACTGAACACGAGGAAATGTTCAGTGTTGCTAAAGCAAATCAGCATTTCCTTTCTTAAATGATTCCAGGAAGATCCTGTCAAGCCAAAGGTGTATATTATAAATGGAAAGATTTAGTCAGGCAGTCACTACGCCACATGAAAAAAACCTGGAAACCAAAAATTATTCACTTTGCATTTCTTTAATTAAATTAACAGGCTACATATCAATGTTTGGTAGTTGTCATGATGGCGCTTTTTTTTTTTTTTTTTTTCATTCAGAAACTTCTAAAGTGTTTGGTTTTTTTTATTGGGGGAGAAGGGGATATTTGAATGTCATACATCTGCTTAAAATAACTGCAAGCAATGATATCAAAGTATAAATTTTTACTATAGAAGACCAAAAAGGTATTTGTCACTGCTCTGAAATAAGACTAATTCTTTTATATTTTGGAATATAGGTGTTATAGGCCAAAATGTGACCCCCATGGTAGGCACTCCAGCACCCGGAGCAAGTCCTTTTGGACAGCAGGTGAGTCATTTTTTGTATTATTTATGAGGCTCTAAGGTTCTGAATTAGCATTTAAATTAGCATTTAAAGAACATCTCAGTTAAGACAGGTAGGGATGCACTTCACCTTTGCCAGGGAGAACATAAACCAAATGTACACTGATGTATTTAGAACCAGTTAGTATCTTACGCTCAGCGTGTATGTCTGTATTTCATGGTTGAATTGTTATTAGACTAATTAGGTTCTGCCCAGTGGGAGAACTTTTGCAGCGTAAGCAAGACAGTGTTTTGTTTTGGTTTTCTGCTACTAAACTAAGACGAGTCATTTCAACACAGTGTTAAACTGCTGATAATTTAGGTTTTGCATGCTTTGATGATGCAGAGAGGATGCTGTCCACTTTCTCAGCGGTTGATGAGTGGACAAAAACTCTTTTGTTTGCTCCCGTATTTCACAAACAGACGAAGCAGATGTTCACTGGCAGTTCAGAATTTGTGAGTCTGGGTAACAGCGATGATCAGATGTTCCTTCTCAGTGATGAGACTGAGTTCCAACACTCAGATGAAGTGTTCAGCATATTTCCAGTTTTATTGTCTAAATTTATTTTTGCATCATAAAGAGAAATGTGATTTTGGCTAGAGAGTGTAAAGAAAAACAGAATTTGAATGAGGAAGTAGTGAAGTGTATACGTCATGACATTTGAGTTATTCTAGACCACAGGATATCTGTGCTAGGAGTTCTCAGTACTGCTACTTAATCATGACGGTAGGAATTCCTCTGTGCAACTGTGATTTTTTTTATTTTTTTATTACTATTTTTTTGTTTTGTGTGCCTGCAATTAGCATTTATTCTGTGGAAGTATCCCAGTCACCCAAGGATCAGTGTCAGTTTAGATTAGATGTTTTAGAGATAAACCCTGCACTTCACAGACCACATAGTTTATGATCAAATAAGAGAAAACATGAAATAAAAAGGAGACAAAAGGAGTAATTAAGGCTACTAGGAGAGAGGAAAAATGGCGATAGTAATCAGAATATGTTTACATAGATGAGAAATATGAGCAATGTTGTCTGTTAAACATGAATATGGTTTGTTTGTACTTCCTCACATCTTGGTGACCCCAACAGATAGCCCTGACTGAAGTGGGTGTCTTACCGTGAAATTTCCTTATGTGTTTGCTGATAACCTGTTAGGAAGCTCCATTGTATGAGGGTGACCTGATGCACAGATATGAAACGGCTTCCCTGCAGTTCCCCCAGATGTGATCTCTCCATTGCTTTGTCATTGCAGATAGGAATCCTTGGCCCGCCAGGACAGCAGGCACCCCCTCCGTATCCCGGCCAGAGCCCAGCGAGTCAGCCAGTTATGCAGCAGCCCACAACTCCCATGTTCGTCTCCCCTCCACCAAAGACACAGAGGCTTCTTCATTCTGAAGCCTATCTGAAATATATTGAGGGGCTTAGTGCTGAATCAAATAGTATCAGCAAGTGGGACCAGACTCTTGCAGGTAAGGCTTTTGATACAGAGTGGGATGTTTCCAGACAGAACCCACTTCTTTGTAACCATTAATATTTTTTGCTTTTAGGGATAATTCTAAATAAATCTGCTGCTTACTTAATAAAATGTATGCACGCACACAAGTAATTGTTAAAAACAAATCAACAGACTGGGAATATATGTGTTATCAGCAGGTTAATTCCATTGATGTATAAATCTAAGAATCAATTGCATGGGCTCACGAATTAGGGGTAAAAGTTATACTATAGAATTATATTTGCCTTTTTCTGGAAAAATTGTGGTGAATATCAAAGCCAGTAGGTAATTGGACCGTTTCTTGACCTTCCAGCACGAAGACGAGATGTCCACCTATCAAAAGAACAAGAGAGTCGACTCCCTTCACACTGGTTGAAAAGTAAAGGGGCTCATACCACAATGGCTGATGCATTATGGCGTCTGCGAGACTTGATGCTACGAGACACCCTTAATATCCGTCAGGCATACAACATAGAAAATGTTTAGTCACATAATTGCTTCTTTCTTTGATACCGGCATATAAGGAGTTTTGTGGAACAATAGCTGTTTTAGTTACTGGGTGGGGAGAGATAACCAACAATAATTTGTATTGCATTTTACTGTACATTGCAAGACCATTTTTATATAAGGACACTTTTAATAAGCATATTTCACTTTTTGTTATATTAAGTTGACTTTATCAAATACACGGATTTTTGCATATGTTTCCTTTGTTTGAAAGGCGATTTCATAATTGGTTAAGTGTAGTCAAGGATTCATCTTTCTTATACTTTATTGCTGAGAATCTGATGCCATTGTTTTTATATAAAAGAAGAAAAAAGAAAACAAAGTATTTACAGATTGGTACAATGGAATGTGAAATTAGTCATAGTTTACATCTTAGAAGAATGTGTGTACATGTGCTTGTGTGTGCTAGCCACTTCCAGCAGAAATCTCGCTTGGATGTGAACAGGGAGGATCTCTTAACAGAAGCTGAAGGTAAGATGTGCATTGATGCTAGGGAAAAATGACATTTCAAGTCAATACCAAGGCAGCTGAGTGGGCCACAGCAATCATGGAAGCGCTAGTGCGGACAGGACAAGGCTGTCTTGACCACTAATGTTGTCCAGTCCTGTCCAGCTACTTAACTGTGTAGCCAAGGCCATTGTGATCCTAAATCAGTAACAGAATACGCGTGCTGGCATGCCCTTAGAAGGTGAAATGTTTCATCTACCATGACCTGCTTTGGGGGTTCTGTGATGTCCCTAACACCGAGGAGTGGGAAGGGGAAGCTTCCTCCCTAAGCAATTCCATCTGCATGTGAGGAAGGTGCGCAGAACTTGGAACCAGTTGAGGTCTCGGAAGGTAAGTTAGAGGAAATGGAAAGTTGAGTTGTTTTGGTAGCGAAGTACCGTGATGTTTTCAAATTCGCACATATTCTGTTAATGACTGGGCATTGTAAGGCATTTTTGTATGCTTTCTTTAAGTGTATTGATTCACCTTAAAGAAAGTTTTGCAATGCAAAATTTGAGAAATTTGACACTTTAAAGTAAAATACTACTGTATGATGTGTCTAAGTTCAGCATACCTAGTACGTTGGAGAGATAGAGTTCTTGCATTGCAGTCTTCAGAGGGTTTGGGGTTTTTTTTGTTGTTTTGGTTTTTTTGTTAGCTAAGTAAGGTAGGTATAGACTCTTGCCAAATTTCAAGGTTGTGACTTCCTTCTGCTAAAGACTTACCTGTCTTTGTAACTAACCAACCTTTTGGACTGCAAAACTATTTGTTTAAAGGTAAATCCTTCCGTGTACTTAATTTTAGAAAAAGAATTAATACTTCTGGATTGCATTAAGTAACTGGGAAAACAATATTAATTTGAAAAAAATGTTGGCAGGAACATGGTCACTGCAGCTCAGTCCAAAATAACTGATTTACTGATACACTTTCATCTTACTAGTGGAGACATTCATCATGTGGAAATGTTTTTTAAAGTCTAATCGTACAGAACATTTTTATTTGAGTACATTTGGCAGAAGGTTAAATACTTTTCTTCAAGTACTGGATATCTTGGGTTCTGTTTCGCTGATGTAATTAATATTGATGAGGGAAAGCGACATGTGCAAGTATAAACTGTTACTTAATTTTACTGGCTAATTACTCTCCCTCTCCTGTTGCAATCCTCCAGTCATTGCACAGAAAACCATGTACTTACAAATAGGCACTTAAGGACAGTTTAGGTCAGATGTGCAATGGGCGTGAAGAAAATGGAGCTAAGCAACATAAGAAAATTACAATTTTGAACTCTACAAGTAGCATACCCATGGTACGGAAATTCTCTACTGGCCTTTGTAAATGACCAAGTTTATTTAACAAAGTAGAAACTGAATAGTCTTGTACCACCCCCCATATATACAGTATCATCTTGAAATGTGTTTAAATTACCATAGGCTTTGCAATTTTTAGCCACAAAGATGGGACGTTGAAGCGAATCAGGCAGCAAATCCTCATTTTTGAGTATTTGGAACTATCATGGATTGTACTAATAGACCACCAGATTCTCCTACTTCTCAGCATTAACAAAAATTACACCAAAGAACCTGGGATGGATTTTAGTTAAGTTATTGTTTTATTTATTTTCTTTTGAGGACTGGATGGGACTCCCTTTGGAGCCTGTATAACTCAGATGTTTAATTTATCTGAAGGTCAGAGATGAGCAGACTTGCAGCACTGGCTCTCTCCTGCCCGAGCAGCTGAAGCCCTACTTTCACTGCTCTTTCCGGCCCAGGAGCAAGAGATTGGAAGTGCAAACATAACCTGGGTCCTCCCGCAAGGCAGTGCAGAGCACTACCGCTAAGCCACTGGGCTGGCCCTGATCAATTATTTTAAGCTTTGTTTATTTATTTCAAAATCATGTCTCTCTATATTGGAGGCATTTCAGTCAATCGCAGTAAAATTTAGGATATAATGGCTACGGTCTAGAATTCAAAACCAGCAAAAGAAACTGTTTTCTGATTCTGGTTAAAAAAAAAAAAAAAAAAAGACATGTCTGTCTGTCTCTTTTTCTCTCTCTTTGTGGGTGTTTGAACCCCTCATTTGTTTTCCACTGCCATTCATTGTACTGGCATAAACAAAACTTTCATATTAAAATAAAAGTATGTATGGGAAATGGTTGGCTTCTGTGAGAGTGGAAAATAGATTAATGTAGGACCGGTATTTTCATAAACCACTTGGAGATGACTAATAATTATTTGTTCTCTTCCTTAGTCTTTCCCTTCCATGAGAAAATTTACTGTTTGTGTAAAAATTCAAAGCGTTGATGTTGGTGACTTTTCTTCAGCATATGTTTTTGGACCTGGTTAATCCATGCTTGGCTTTTCATTAGATCTTGTACTCCTGAAGGTTAAGCTGCTAACCAGGTGTATAACATGTATGTACCATCACTTTGTTTACCTGAGTCTTTTTAATTTGAATAAAAATAGTTTGCAAAGTGTTTTGGATTAACCAGGTTTGAGTGTCCCATCAAGAATTTTGATAGGATTTTATTTCAAGTAATTTTGGCTGTTGCTGATCTGGATTTTATCAAGTCCTTGGTACGTGCGCACTTGTGTGTGGGTAAAGAATCCTTTTTATATTGTCCTGTGTATTGCAAGACATGCCTGGTAGGTGATAAGAACAGTGATGCTGAAAAATGTGGTTGAAAATTGAGCTTGAAAAGGAGCATGAACAGTAAACCTTGAAAAACGTGACACATTCGGAGCAAGCTGAGTGGGGATGATAAGATTCAGTCAGTCCCAGATGCCCCCACATTAATTGCCTTGAAAATAAACAGCAAGCCTTAATTTCCTACTGGAAGCTAACCTGGTTCAGGACTCTTTTATGTAGCTGTGTAATAAAGGAAATTAGAACAGTAATATGGAAAAAGCCTCTTTTAAACAATAAAGTTAGAAACCAGAACAGAAATTTTCTTTAATACCACAAACTGCAAGTAAAATTAAGTGATGGCAACCTCCCAAGTCTCAAGGTGCCTCTGACGTAAAATTTACAAAAAGCTATTTAAACCACCAGAACAGATAGCATTATATTTAATTAACATGCATTCGTGTCTCCAATCCAGGAGATAAACGCTGCCTCTCATGCAGGCGGCCAGCTTTACAGAACTTCCACCTTTCTAAAATCTGATGATGCAGTTGCGCAGAGGAGACTAATTCTAATCATCCTCCACATTGTGTTTGCTCAGTTGGAGATACTGAAGATCATCCATAGATGTACGTAGCCCCCTCTCGGCTGCAAATGAGAGCCAATTTGGAGCGGTGCTTCAAAATGGCTGGGTACTCTGAACATCAAGAAATGGGATCTGATTCGTTGATATATGTGAAATTTTCTGATTAATAAAATAAACCTCATATTCCTTTTGCTGACTGCATTTTCTAGCAAGTCTATTTCGTCCATCCTACAAAGAAACGACACAACAGCTGCTGCAGTGCAGTAGGATCTGGTGATCCTGGATAAAGAGATTCCCAGTCTCGGTCAGGCCTCGGAGACACGGTGGTCTCCTACGGTTGGTCCTTCCTGTGCCAAGAGGGATCAGAAATCCAGTGCAGAAGTCTGGCCGTGCAGATTGTCATCTGTTAAAGGAGGCAGCAGGAGAGATGGGAAAAGCAGCGGAGGAGAACGCACTGAATTACATGGCAGCACAAGTAACTGGTGTGGCTCAGCCTCAGACAAGAATGGTGAAGGATGGTCGGTCCTTCATGAAGTCTGTGTAGCTGTGCTCTGCAGGGAGTGTCCAAATTCAGTTTCCATTGGATGATTTTTGGGGAGGACTGTAATTAATCTTCACGCTTTGTGCCAAGCACCAACATCCAGTGACAACTTCAGGAAATTCCTTGGGACCAATCATCCCACTGGTGCCTGTTGTAAGTTTTAGCACCTTTCTTGGAAGTATCTGAGGCTGGCTGTAACCAGAGCGCAGGTACAGTTTGGTATCTCTGTATGAAGTCCAAAGTGAAAGCTCGACTCCACTGAAGATAGTAAAAGTTTTGCTTGAGGTAAGAGTTCACCAGTACATAACAGGTAACTATTTTTTTCCTTTTCCTGCCCTTGAAAAGCTGGGACAAAACTCTGCTAAACCCCTGTGCAAGGAAGGAGTACAGGCTGGGCATACACACACGCTTCCTTCACCAGAATGTCTCTTCAGTACTTCCCTGGCTTGCCACAGGTCTTTCAGCAGGCAGCACCCTTGGGTGCACAAGAGCAGGGAAACGATCCCGTTCTTTGTACAAAATCATTCTGAATCAGTGGTGAAACTGTCCCCTCTCTAATAGTGGGGTGGTGAGCAGCATTGCTCATACCTAAGTATCACCGTTTGTTTGCAGGTGACTATTTAGTGCTGCAGCTTTGCCCATGCTTGATCTCTATATTGACCTGACTTCTATAATTTGGAACGCTTTCAGCAGAAATGCATTGCTAATTCTCCTGCTGTGGCTGCTGCAAAGTGAACGCACGAGACCGCTGTTCTTAGATGCTGAACTGCATTCTGGGCTGACACCAGCTGAACTCCCTGAAGAAAGAATGGACACACTCAACCCCAGAACTGGCAGGGGCTCAGCAGCACTTAAACTGAAAGCTGTGTTCCTGGCTTGTTCCCGCAGTGCGTAACAGAAGCAGTGGTGCATTCCCAGTGCTGGCATGAGCTCCAAGCCCAAGGAGAGTTCTCGCTTCCTCCCTGTTGCGCACTGCCACAGCAGATGGGTGGGAGGGAAGCTGGAGGACAGGAAGGAAATGGGGAGATGCGAGCCAGAAGGAAGATGGGAGATTGCTGGGGAAGGCAGAAATCATAGAAC